ACAAGGTATAGGGAAGTTAAGGAATGAGGTTCGGAGAGAGTGAGGGCAAAGGTATATTGCGAGGTAAGGAAAGTCTAGGTATAGAGAGGTATAAGGAACCTAATAGGGGCTAAAAAGCGCACACTACAAGGGACTACTTCGAAGGTAAACCTATAGGGAGAGGTATCCAGTACGAGGGAAGTGTAGTAGTGAAATAGTCCCTAAGGAATAGTCAACTTATACTGTCCAGACTCTCACTCGGAGAAGGAAGGGATAGTAAATATAGTAAATATGTAAGGACATGTAATAAGGCTGCAACACATTTTACAAGCCTCGAGGTAAGGAAATTCACATACCAATGGGGTTTGGATGGACTATGGATAGATGACGGACCTTCCTGATGCATTTCTGAGGTATCCGAAGCGTGGGAATGCACGTCCGATGCGCGTGAAAGTGCGGGTTCAGCTTTGCACAGGGGTTACTTGATGTATGAGGGTCGGATAAAGATAGGGAAACTGATAGTGTTCTATACTCCTTGACATCAATATAAAAATAGGCTCTTTCCTGCCCAGTGCAGGTCCAAGTGTCACACCGGAACACAGGATATGACAGGCGGACCCATTATCCATCATCATGGTTTCAACCATGTCTCGTTCAGCCAATGTCATTGTTGTGATCTGTGTGGGCCAAACAGCAAGGTGATTGATTGAGTCGACACACCTTGCAGCTGTTGCTGTCTTTTATGGTTTACCTCCTCCAAGCACTCACTTTGTTTGCCAGCTGCTAGCACTTTGGACTGCCTGCTTGAACCATTAAAACCATGTCTGATGGTGGCGTGTGATAATCCTGAGACCTTCTTAGCCCTTGTACCACAGAAGGCCATGTTGACAGAGAAGTATGTCTTGCAGGGAGACGGTGCAGGTGTGGGTGTGAGTAGAACAGCCTTGATACTGACTGTAAGGAGAAGCATGATGGGTTAGGCTATCCTGTCAATATTATCCATAATCAACTCTAATTACATACAACAGGTTATCCTTCCTTGTCACAGATCCCTGAGGATATCCTTCATTATCCATTATCCATAACCTTACTCCACTGTCCTGCTTATATAATGGTAATTATACACTGCCGCATTTTTTGTATTTTTGAAACTCAGCTATTTGTCATACCAGGCAGCACATGACAAAAATATATTCTATTTTTGTCACCTCCTCATCCTCACATTATCCCCGCACATCACATCTCTGCATTTTTCAGCCCCACAGTATGAGAATTACCCCACAACAGCAAAAACATCAACCATTTTTGGAATCTCTTCAATATCAATTATTCCCACACCCTTCCCACATCATTGCAGCTTCACCACCACACCACAATAGCTCCCCCTTTATATATAAGTAGTAGTTTAGTATATATATGTATAATATAATATAATAGACTTCTTTTTTTTGTTTCTTTCTGTGACTGCTCCTCCTCCAGGGGCAATTCAACATAGGGTAGGGCACAAAACACTTTCGCATTTTTGCCCCTTTAGTGGGGAAGTGTTCTATTATATTTAAAACATGTTTATGAGCATATATGAGTAGATTCCCATCTTTATTTGACCTCCTAAAGTGTCCTACATCAATAGATATAGCACATATGCAAGAAAACACAGAATATATTCCCATTTAATTATTTCTAGGTGGACAGACTTGGAAAAATGATTCCCAGCATCTATTCAACAATAGAAACAATATATCAGGAGCTTAGGACCATAGAATAATACCCTGTTGCATGATGTGCCCCCTCTCTCCTGGTGGTTCACCCCCTGTGAAATTTTTCCTGTAGGACCGGACCTTAATTGAGGTGAGGGGTCTATTTCTATGTATATTTGGAGTAGATCTATCATATGGCTAGCCCAGGACACACACAGGATCCTTTTACAGGAACAAAAACATAGAAAATCACATTTTTGATGTTTTTGATGTTTTTCAGTATCTTACTCTTGCATAAATGACAGGGCCTGTTCATATACCATTAGCATAGTGTATATACTTGCTTTCTATGACTAGGATCAGCTCAAAATATGCTGGAGTATTGAGATTATGTATATACTCACCATTTCTACTGATTAGGGACTTATATCTTCCAATGATTGATATTTAATAATCAGACACCTTGGGCACATCTCAGATATATTCAGTAGTATGGGACTAAATTTACAGAAAGATCAATCCAGAATTGAGAGCTGGGGAATTGAAATAGATAAGAAATGGAGTGTGGGAAAGTTCAAATACTCAAAACATCGAAAATGGTCAGTTGAGTAGTAGTCAGACTTTAATGCTGGTTCTACTTACTTTTACACTACATCCCTTTCACCAACCTCTACCCTCAGGGCAGTATGTTGTATAGGTCATTTAGGTATTCTACCATGTATCCTATATATTTTTAATGAAATATTTAAACTGTATCATACATAAATGTAACTGTATGTGAAAAAATGTCAATTGTCACTTTTCACACATATGTCATTTTACTTGTCATTCACTCAGTCCTTCATGGATCTTTCTAAAACTTCAAATCTATCATTAGAGATATATATGAGATGTATTCCAAGTCTTTAATCACTTATCACAGGCTTGATTACTATATAGGCTTCTTATCAGTAGAAATACCCCCTGTACATCAGATATCAAATTTGCACCCTATGTAGGGCTGATCTATGGCATAGAACATATGGGGTAATGTACTACTGATTATATATAAGCAGACCCTGTCATTTATGCAAGAGTAAGATACTGAAAAACATCAAAAACATCAAAAATGTGATTTTCTATGTTTTTGTTCCTGTAAAAGGATCCTGTGTGTGTCCTGGGCTAGCCATATGATAGATCTACTCCAAATATACATAGAAATAGACCCCTCACCTCAATTAAGGTCCGGTCCTACAGGAAAAATTTCACAGGGGGTGAACCACCAGGAGAGAGGGGGCACATCATGCAACAGGGTATTATTCTATGGTCCTAGGCTCCTGATATATTGTTTCTATTGTTGAATAGATGCTGGGAATCATTTTTCCAAGTCTGTCCACCTAGAAATAATTAAATGGGAATATATTCTGTGTTTTCTTGCATATGTGCTATATCTATTGATGTAGGACACTTTAGGAGGTCAAATAAAGATGGGAATCTACTCATATATGCTCATAAACATGTTTTGAATATAATAGAACACTTCCCCACTAAAGGGGCAAAAATGCGAAAGTGTTTTGTACCCTACCCTATGTTGAATTGCCCCTGGAGGAGGAGCAGTCACAGAAAGAAACAAAAAAAAGAAGTCTATTATATTATATTATACATATATATACTAAACTACTACTTATATATAAAGGGGGAGCTATTGTGGTGTGGTGGTGAAGCTGCAATGATGTGGGAAGGGTGTGGGAATAATTGATATTGAAGAGATTCCAAAAATGGTTGATGTTTTTGCTGTTGTGGGGTAATTCTCATACTGTGGGGCTGAAAAATGCAGAGATGTGATGTGCGGGGATAATGTGAGGATGAGGAGGTGACAAAAATAGAATATATTTTTGTCATGTGCTGCCTGGTATGACAAATAGCTGAGTTTCAAAAATACAAAAAATGCGGCAGTGTATAATTACCATTATATAAGCAGGACAGTGGAGTAAGGTTATGGATAATGGATAATGAAGGATATCCTCAGGGATCTGTGACAAGGAAGGATAACCTGTTGTATGTAATTAGAGTTGATTATGGATAATATTGACAGGATAGCCTAACCCATCATGCTTCTCCTTACAGTCAGTATCAAGGCTGTTCTACTCACACCCACACCTGCACCGTCTCCCTGCAAGACATACTTCTCTGTCAACATGGCCTTCTGTGGTACAAGGGCTAAGAAGGTCTCAGGATTATCACACGCCACCATCAGACATGGTTTTAATGGTTCAAGCAGGCAGTCCAAAGTGCTAGCAGCTGGCAAACAAAGTGAGTGCTTGGAGGAGGTAAACCATAAAAGACAGCAACAGCTGCAAGGTGTGTCGACTCAATCAATCACCTTGCTGTTTGGCCCACACAGATCACAAAAATGACATTGGCTTGTTGTATGTAATTAGAGTTGGTTATGGATAATACTGCCAGGAGCAGGTGGACAGGTGGGGTGATGTTGAAACTCACCGTTGATGTTGAGCTTCTCGTGGGACAGGACAGGCAGCAGTAAGGGATGTTGACGTCGATGGCTGGGGGAATGGCAGGGCAGAAACAGTGAGGAGAATGACTTTGATGGTGAGCTCAATGTATGAGTAGAAGTATGACAGGCGAGATAATGTTGAAGCTCACCATTGATGTTGAGCTCCCCGTGAAACAGGTAGGCAAGAGCATGAGTCTGGGTAACCCATGCAGGTTGCGGGTACGGGTATCCCTGGGGTACGGGTAGGGGTTCTGACATTAGTGTACCCATACCCATATTCATACCTCTGACACAGGTTTCAGATTATATTAGTACTGATGGTCCATCAAATGAATAAAATTCAGACATATTGTACATGTCAAACTCTATTCTACAAACATCAAAGCAAAATGGTAGTACAAATTGCATGATTAACACAACCCCTTCACTCACACCATGCACTCTGATACTACTGCTAAATGAGTCCCCAAGATCTCTGCTAAAGCCAAAGCCACACTAGAAGAAACTGCATCTAAAAAACGCCAAGCTGATTTCAATGGAGATAGTGTGAGGATACAGCCGAAGAAGGTAAAATCAAACCCACCCACTGGAAGTGCTGCAAGAACAGCGCTGAAGAACATCGCAGTGTCGAGATCATCACCTGCACCGAGTCAACAAGCTGTTGTCCATACAGAGGATGAGGAAGAAGATTTATGTAGCGATAATGCGAAAAATGATGATGTTGAACTTGTGGTGACCGAAAATCAAGACGAAAGTGCTGCAGATGAGCTAAGTATGTTCAAAAACCTAGGAAATGATATTAATTTTATCAAACACCAACAGAACGATTCATGAAAGACTGGATCTCACCTGTATATGCTTTCTTTGACTCAACTCCCAAGATTGTTGAGGAGAATGGCCAGTGGGCACACATCTTTAAGTGCAGGGCAAGGGTTGCAAAACCATGGTGAGACGTTACCTCAACAAAGGTGATGCGCGCTCAACAGGAAACATGCGCAAACACATTCGATCGTGCTGGGGAGAAGAAGTATTGTGAGCCGCCAATGAGGCCAAGGATGCTAATGAAGTGCGAAAGAAGATCATGGGCAGCATCCTATGAAATGGGTCAATAACAGCCTCATTTGAAAGAAAGGGAAAGGGAAAAATAATGTACTCACATCATCAGCATATGAAGGCTGAGACAAAGTATGGTCAATTCTAACTTATCTGTGCTGTCCTCTAATGTGTCGTGTACCAGGGCCAAGATTGTTCGCTGGGTATCAGAGAGTCTGCGGCCATTTGAAATCATGCAGGACAGAGGATTTCAGTCACTTATGAAAACAGGAACACCAGAATATTACATACCGTCAAAGTCCACTGTCTCAAGGGATGTGCGGCTTGTTTGTGCACGAACTCGCCAACGAATTGCTAAAATAGTGATGGTTAGTTTAATTAATGTTCAAACGAGGCCAATAATAACAAAACACATACTAGGAATATGCAGGCAGGCTCAATTTTGTAACTGATGCTTGGACATTGCCCAACCACCATGCCTTCATTGCAGTATTGGTCCACTTGGAGCATAATGGTGTGCCGCTATGCTTTCCGTTAGATGTGGTTGAAGTACTGAAGGTAGGGAAATCACTCACAGAAAGGATGTTGCTAATCCAGTAACAGTTGCATACCGGGGAGGAGCTAGCACGGGCATTTGAAGGGATCCTGGAAGAATTCGGAATCCCAGACAAAGTGAGCTAACCATTCCATACAAACAATTGAGACTTACCAATGACACAAAGGTCCTTTGTGTTGCGTGCGACAATGCATCTAATAACAACAAAATGATTGACAAGCTCGCCATGGAGCTTCTGAACTATGGTGGGCGTGCAGGTCACACTCAATGCTTCCTCCATACTGTGAATCTTGTTGCAAATTCGATCCTCTGCAAATTCGATGTGAAAAAGGGTGATGGCGATGAGGGAGACAGCTGGGATGACCAAGAAGTGATGGTGTCGGCAAGGGAGATGATGAAGGGCTTGCAGGTGACACCAGTGATGCTAGCGAGAACGATAATGATGATGATATCAATGGATTGGTCGATGCTGCTATGATTTTGAACACAGAGGAGCAACAAGAGTTGCAGAGCAGTGTCTGTCCTGTCAAGGATGCTCTGGCCAAGGTAAGTACTTGACAAGTGAAGAACGAGCTGCTGTTGACCAAATTTGATTAGATATGAAAGTTATCATATAAAATAATACACTCTACCACAAAAATCCTGCCTGTATGGTATGATATTCTGACAGAACTTGAGATGTCGGCGCGGATGTTGCCTCGAGATGTTTTGACAAGGTGGAACTCAATGTTCGATATGTTGGAGCAAGTGTTGAAGCACCGAAAAGCTGTCGACAGGATAACAGTGTCGGGACTTGGGGCTGAGAGCATTGGAGCTCACTGACTGTGAGTGGGCAATCCTGGAGCAGTTGCACAACATTCTGAAGGTGAGTTTGGCCACTGTTGCATTGTCAGCATCAATGCTGACAACACATGCAGATTCTCAAGGACACCACCTTGTTTTTCTCACATTCAACTCCTAATCTTGCCATTGTAATCCCAGTGATGGACCTTATTGATGAGACGCTCACCACCTGCTCAATGAATCAACAACTTCTGCCCTCAATCCGTGTTGCTGCTGGTCTCGCTAAAAAAACTCTGAACTGCCATTATGAACTTACTGACAGTTCTGAAGTCTACCGTATTGCAATGGGTACATTCTTTTTGATTTTCATGCTCGTACTGACAACAATTTGATATAGTACTTCACCCACGTCACAAGCTAGCTTATTTCAAGCGTGTGAAGTGGGAACAACAATGGATCAACACGGCAGAGACACTTGTTTGCAACACATACAAGCTGTGTCTCAATGCCGACAACAGTGACCCTGGTGAAGATGAGGAGATCTTGGAAACCACCAGGCCTTGTGATTCAAGTATCCCAGTGAGTGCAATTAGTTTTATATTCTCAAGTGTAGTGTAGCTAATTTTTAATGAACTAGAATATATTTGACAATATGGCAGCACTTGCACCGCCTCAAACCATGGACCTTCGAGATGAACTAGATCGGTACCTCAGCACTGACATTGAGCATGTCACCGACCCTCTCACATGGTGGTATGAGCACCGGACAACATACCCTTGTCTTTCATGGATGGCCTTAGACTACCTTACTATCCCAGGTAAGTATTTTTCTTTGTATATTCAATGGTTGCCACCTCACACAGCTTTTAACAATGACTTCGGTGGATGTCAAACAACTGTTTAGTCGTGGTCATTTGATACTCTCGCATGTGCGATCACATCTCAATGCTCAATCCACTCGCACGCTATTGTGTCTGGGCTTTTGGAGCCGGCTTAATCTGGTCCATACCAAAGATGTGTTGTCTGTTAGTGCACTCGCTGACATGAAAGGTGACGACATCGAGATGGATGATGGCTGGGACATGATTGAGTTGTAGTATATTTCATTCATGTTGTATCTACAAGGTTGCAAGCAGACTTGTGGGTATACCCATTGTGGGTCTTACCCCGGGTGTTCTAACATGACACCCATGAAAAAACCCATACCCACTTGACGGGTGTGGGTATTCTGCCAGGTACGGGTACGGGTGACCTCTCTCGCACCCGGGGGTTTACCCGTGCTCTTGCCTAGGAATGGGTCAGGCAGCAGTAAGAGACATTGATGTCGATGGTCGGGAGAAGGGCAGGGAAGAAACACCAAGCAGAACGGCTCCGTTGGTGAGCTTGACACTGATGTCGATGGTCGGGAGAAGGGCAGGGAAGAAACACCAATCAGAACAGCTCTGTTGGTGAGCTCAACGTTGACGTCGAGGAGAAGGACTCGTGGGAATGGCTGTATATTAATGGTACTCAGAGTAGTTTTAGGATTTTTGGTAAAGCTCACTAAGGCCCGCTAAAGCTTGGGTAGAGCTTACAGAAACACAGCACCATAATCCTCGGTGCACATTGTCATGATGTTGGACTTTCAAATGACACTTAGGATTTTTGAAGCAGAAAGTGAGGAGTAGGACATATGTATTTGCAATGAGTAGCGATAAAGTACATCCCCCAACGCGCATTGTATTTAAAACTAGCAACATCAATAAATTCATGAAAAAAAACCAAGTCCAGTGGGATAATGATATCAGTGCATGCTATAGGTGGAGAGCACAGGATGCGCTCCTTGTCTTGGATTTTTGCCTTCATGTTGTCGGTGGTATCTGATGATGTTGATGGGGATCTGCATACTGGAAAGAAGATGGAGAACGAGGTGGAAGGTAGGCTCCTTCTAGGTGGTGGAGGGGAGACTCATTCTGGGTGTTGTATAGGCATACCAACTGGCATTACAGAGGGAAGAGCAACGGGGAGCATTCAGACATGCTTGAATGAGATTCTTGCCCTCTGGTTGAGTGACAAGAGGTTGCAGCTTTGAAGTTATAAAGGTGTAAATGAGACCCATTTCTGACATGACGAGTAGAAGGACTTGAGTGCCTGTGAGAGTAGACAAATATAGTTGGGAAGGAGGTGGAGAATGATGTTGTGGTTGGGAAGAGCAGCTTCGAGTTGCATGCCGGCAAAAATGAGATGCTGGATGATCATGTGTGAGGGGAAACCTAAAATAAATGTCATAAGGCCAAAACATGGCAAGGTGCAGCTTGCGAAATGTAAGAACAACATACCTTGCGCACAACACCTCCAACAACTTCATGAGGTCCGGCTTGATGCTGTCTGAGTCTGAGTGAGGTCAATGAGCGCAACATGAGATGCAACATCTGAAATTTCTGAAATCTAAGACTCCGCTGTAAACTGCATCACATATGCACCAAATGAATAGGAATTTTGATCCCCCCCCCAATTCTCACTATGCCTCGTCAATCTACACATGTACAGATGCTGAATGACCTTGACCAGACTGCCCTTGTGGTAGCCAGGGCGAGATACCAGCATGTCATAGAAGATGATGACTCTACAGACTCCATCTCGAGATTAGACTCTGATTTAGATCTTACCTGTGACTCTGATCTTGAAATTTTCCTGAATTTATGCTTTCACCCCCTTCTCCTCTTTCTCCTGCCCTCTCCATCTCATCCAATTTTTCTGATGGGGACAGCTCATCGGATGATGATGATTATATTATCACTCGCTACAATCGCCTCCAAGATTCCATTGCAACTCTCCAGGACGAAATTTCAAAGGCTCATGTAGTCAACATCCCCAGTGTACCTCTCCCATGTGCCCCTCAGCTACACCTTCTAGTTCATTTTGGGGAACACCACTTGCTTTTATTTCGTCACAAATTATGCGTTGATCCTGAAATCTTTGACGACATCCTCGATTTAATTTCTGACCATTGCATTTTTCACAACAACTCCAACAACTCCCAGCTTCCTGTTGCTATTCAACTAGCAATTTTTCTCAACCGTGCTGGCCACTACGGTAACTCCATATCTCTTGTGGATGTGTCTCAATGGGTGGGTGTTAGTGTTGGCTCGGTCATTAATTGCACTAATCGTGTAATGGTTGCCCTGCTTGACCAGCATGATACTTTCATGGGTTTCCCTCCCCACAATTTGAAGGATTTCGAGCGTCAGACCTGAAATATTGCACTACTACTTTCGCCTATAGGGTTCCATGTTTCTACATATCTACATAAATATTGGACTCCCCATAGCATCATCATCATCCAAGTAGAGGAGAATCGTCTCCGACGCTTAGGGGTCAAACCCGATATTTTGTAGTTCTTAGTTGACATTGCAAATATCATCGTTCCTTCACTGTCCATATCCATCATTGTTATTATTGTGCACACCGCTTGCTTTCCTGATGCTTGCTATTGCATAGCTATTAGTTTCCGATACCCTGAAACCCGAAAAACATCGGACCTGACGCTTTTGCATCGGACATCATAATTATACCTTCGGTCATTGTTTCCCACACTCGGATTATTGACATCACTCATTGACCCCCAAAACTATTCCCAGACCCTAGACCCCTGGGTTGAACGCACTTGTCACTAAGTATGGCAGATAGGCAGTGCAAGACCACAACATAAAGATATCAGTTTGGAGCCATCGTTGTATAGCCCCACTCTGTGTTGTATACCTACAGCGTGATCCTGTCGGACTGCACCTTCTCAATTTCGTCGTTAAGTACATCAACCCTGCTCTGAATATCCAAACATTGTTTCTTCACCTGCTTCTGTTTTCCTGCGGATGAGGAATTAGCCAGAGACGTCACAGATGTCGACATCACCACAGGAGCTGAAGATGCTGATGCAGGCTTAGACCGTGCAGAGCCCAAAGAGCGATGAGACATCAGTTTGAGTGACCCCGTGCTGGTGCATCACTTCGGATCCTTTGGACCAGATACCCCAAATGATGCACGACTGTCCCAAAAAGAGGTCTGCAATGTGCGTGGTAGCACAAAGTCAGATTGAGTTGGTGGGGGAGTGATGGGGGGCGAAGGGGTTGATGGAGGAAGTGGGTGCTTCGATGCAGTGGGTCTCGACTTTGGCGGACTGTCGAGGATAGTAACATTAGGCCGTCATGATAATCATATTGTGGGGGGGGAGTAGGCCATGGTACATCACTGAATGAAAGATCCATTGCCTCATCATCATAATGAGGGCTGAAATAATCAGGCATGTTTATGTTGTTGTTGTCGAGAGGCGAATCAGAAGCATCACGAGAGTGCACAGGGAGCACGCCAGTTTGCTTACCATACTGAGGGACACAGTCAAAATACTGATTGCCGGTGGGCTGACCACTATGATGACCAGAGGGAGGGTAAGGCTGACTGGCAGAGGAGGGAGGGTGAGGCTGAGCACCCGAGGGGGGAGGGTAAGGCTGAGCGCTCAAGGGGGGAGGGTAATGCTGAGCGCCAGAGGGGGAGGGTAAGGCTGAGTGTCAGAGGAGGGAAGGTAAGGCTGAGTGCCTGAGGGGGGAGGGTAAGGCTGACCAGAGGGTAACTGAGCATTAAGATTAGAACTGGCAGGCTCAGGATGAGCGCCAAATTGAGCGCTCCCAGAGCGCAGGGTTTCAGAATAGGAGCTACCCACCTTAGATGATATGGAAAAATAATTTCCAGCATGGTCCATGCCCAGGCATGACAAGACCATTTTAAGAGACAAGGCAGGGTTTCCCCCCATGATGCTAATAAGGTCATCATACCACAGGAATTCTTTCAGTATTTGTGCTGTGAATTTAGTTAGTAAGACTACAAAAAATAAAAATAAATACACACCATGCAAGTTCTGCGCAGTATTTTCATCCTGGGGCATGATACCAGCGCCAGTCACATGTAACTTGTTGTGACATTCACAAAACTTTTTTCTGAGGCTTTGAAAGGAACATCAGTACACAACACGACGGATGCATTGAGAGAACATACCCATTGATATGATTGTTCATCAAGTCTCAAAATTTGTCTGGTGCAGTCGCATAATACTCCCCATATTCTTCATCGTCCTCGAAAATGTACTTTGCAATAACAGCGCATACTGAAACCTTATCTTTTCCAGAGGGGCGGTCACCATCACTGTGCGATTGCTTTCCATCTGAGTAAAATAAGATTTGGCAATCCGCCTGATTGTTGTGGAGGTGGTCAATGACCTTTTGCATGCAAGACAGTGCAGACAGCCATTGGATTTGAATTTTCGTGTGATCCGAGCTACTACCAGCAGGATTTCATCCTCCTCGACTTTTGCTACTTCTTCCACGAGTCACGGGCCTCTGTACTTGTTCCATGGCCTTTTGGCCCCTTCAGAAGGGCATCTGTAAGGCCCGTAGTTGCGTAGAGCGATGATGAGGTGATGGTCGAACAACAGGCATGAGTTTTGAAGTCTGCTGGGATGCCGAAGTCTGCCGCATGTCTGGGGCATGTCGAGCTGAATTTGGTAAATTTCTTACCGAGCTTTACTGAGCTTTACCAAGCTTTACTGAGCTTTACCAAGCTTTACTAAGCTTTAGTAAGGGTACTCTGAGTACCACTATTATAGATAATACTATTAACTGAGTGTATCGGCAGCTTATTCCGAGAATACCTTACAAGGTAGTATAAGGTAAAAGATTATTTAGGGCAGTGTTTAATGCTGGTGTTGGGATTTAACGCAACTACATCAGCAAACTACTGGGCGCTTGTGCAGGATTGTACAAGCTTGTACAAGCTTGTACAGACTCACAGAACCTACAGCTAAGTCCCCCCTTTGCAGGATTGTACATAGGCCCACAATCTGTACAGTTGTTACAATATAGTGACCTTGGACAGACAAGCCAGGTTGTGCAGATAAGACAAGTTACACAGATCATGCAGAGGCTACATTATGTATGAATAAATAGTAGCTGTACATGGGAAACATGCCATACAAGCGCGCAAAAAGTCATGCAAACTGTCATTATGATCATCAAACTAAACAAAACATCGAGCATCGAACAGTGCATTAAAGTATGATATTGATGTCCACGTCACTGCCTGCTGCACTCCCATCTGCATGCCAATCAGATTCGCCCATACCAATCTTAGCCCATTGCTGCAGCATCTCTTCAAGCTCTTCATGAAGTTCCGGAATGTCGAGGAACTTATCAACTGATGCCTGCAACTTGTTGAAGTTGGTCCTGCATCTATCAGCGGGGAGTTCAGGAGATTTGTCGGTCCCAGTTTCACCGAACCCAGAAATAACACCCTTCATCTATGAAATCATCAGCGAAAAAGGAACAAGAAAAAAGAAAAAGGCGCACAACTGCTGCCACAAGAATGAGCACGTTAACAGGGATTGTTTGGTGGAAGTCATCCGTGTTCTTCAGCGCTTTCTTGCTGTCACCATAAAAAAATTCGAGACAAACATCCTTGAGGGCCTGCGATACAGAATTCTTGAATTTTCCCTGCAAGAAAAATAGTGAGTCAGCCCTATTAACAAGAGTCGTTACCTACATCAGACGAGTCAGGGATCCAGAGGTAATCACCAGTCTTGAGTAGCTTAGTGGCAGCTGCAATGACATGCTTCTTTATCTCCTCCAATTGCAATGAGGTGCCCTTTGGTGTAGCACTCGAGCTCACACTGAGCATGTATTCAGCTATTTTCTGATGCATGACAAATGCCCATCGCACATGAATCACTTCCTGATGTTATCCGACACTCATCCGCTCAATCCGACACTAACCCGCTCAATCTGATGTTTATCCACTAAACCCGACGCTAATCCGACGGACCCGATGTTTCCCGCACATCGGACCCGATATTTTCTCGTGCACTTGTCCTCCCTATGTCCTGTCCTGTTGTATCTATCCCCACTAGGTGCGCAATTATTCATTTTCACGTCGCTAACATTGTAGAACGCATTATTACATGTCCACAGTATATCATGTCTTATTACATAGGACATCAGACCCGAAAATCAGTGCTACTACTTTCGCCTATAGCACTCCAAAATTCTACATAGATACTATATATTTCGCATACCTCCTACCTATTTACTTACCTTTCTACCTCCGAGTAGGAGGAGGTCATCCGATATTACTAGTTCTTAGCTGAATTCCACAATATCATCCATTCTTTATGTGAAACACTCCAAAACATCTGACAGTAACCCGCCATTCACTATCCCTGACATTCATTATATTCCCAACGCAAACCCAACGCTAACCCAACGCTAACCCAACGCAACCCAAGGCAAACCCGCTAACCCAAAACCCAAAAACATCGGACTCGTAATTATACCTTCGGACTTTGTTTCCCGCACTTTGGACTACCTTCCTTTTGTTATAACTGATCATTCTAATACCATATAGCAAACCCCTCGGGTCGAACACACTTGTCTTGCAAGTATAGCAGACTAGGCTGTGCATGACCACAACACATTTTTATATTGCTGGCTACTTACTTCATGTAGTGCTCAGCAATTGTTGTATCTCTACATCGGGAAGATATCATAAGACAATTTAGCTATTGTTACAAGTAACATCGGTCACGTGGCCCCCCTATCATTTTCCCTTCATCCTCGTCCTCACCATCTACCGGCTCGTCCTCCTTTACCGACTTTCCGTTGACCAGATCCTCGGGACTGTTCCCGTCCCTCGCATCATCCGCCTCTATGCACGTGCACGCACGTTCCTCTCTTGATTTGACCACCAATGTGGTCCCGCACCTCTGACTCGGTCTGACTCGTGCCACCAATGTGGCTTTCCTCTTTCTGTTTCCCCTGACTGCGGATTCCCGCACGTTGTATTCTTACCGTTGGTCCGTTCCAACGTTTCTCGGTCTCATTCCACATTCGACCATCCATCACTAATCCGGCTGTGTTGCCAACGCACCTATACCATTCTCGTATCCCCTTTACCCTTACCTACTGTGCGGTAGCCTTGCCCTTAACCCTCTCCACTTAGTATAAGTAGTCGGTCACCCTGTACTAGATTCTCTAACTTGAATCTACTCAATCTTCCCTGGAACATACTTCCCTCTGAAGCCCCCTCAGCTTCAGTCTCTAGTATCTTTTCTTAGTCGCTCATCGCGGCTAAGTCTACCTCGATCGACCTCATCGTTCGGACAAGACTGTCCTTACTTTGAGTGACTTCTCAAGACATCCGTCTACGAAGTCACGTGACACGCGCGTACTGTGATCACTGCCGACTCGTCGTCGCCAGTCTCACTTGCTATACCGGATCCTTCCGGTTACGTCACGAACGTTAGCGGACGACGCCCCTCTTAGGGCTCCGCCTAACAGATCTATTTGAGTGCGTAACAGCTATAGAGATGACAACCTTTTTAAGCTCTGTACTGGAACGTGAAGAGATTCGTCACAGAGCTGATCAACATATCAGTGAGAGTGTCCACCATCAATAAATGGGGGACTTACCAACCAGCACATCTGCAGGCTATACTCTGGGAAGTAGCCTTGCGACAAGACATGAGAAGACTCGAAGAAAGCGGCAGTGTAGGGGGAATTTACCATTCTCGAATTTGAGCTTCTTCTGGTGGCATACCCACAATTTGGCATCCAGGACTTCTTATGCAAGTTGTGTGGCATCCTGGTGTTCTGGGATTGGCTCGTGGCAACCAATTGCCTTGCTTTACTAAAGTAGTTGGTAGTGATGCGCGTGTGGTTCAGCTCTTCCAAGAGCACAGTTCACGGGTCTGTCAGTTCATCACAATCTTCATCATCTTCTTCGTCCACCTTATCCTCAAGGAATTCTTCCGAGTTGGAATGAGTGCCAGAACTCTTCAGTGCCGTAGCAATTGCAAAATGTTGCAGCTTCTCCTGGTGATCTAAATGATGACAGATTTGAGGATCATAATCGTTGTTATTGGTGTGCCATGCAGGGTCCTTTATTTCAGATATGTGGGCATGCTTGGTGGTGTCTGCGGACCATTGGATGAGGGCACCAACTTTGCGTGAGCTGGCAGTAATGCTCTGCATAAGTTCGAGCTTGGGTATGAACCAGTTGTCGATAGGCTTCTTTGTGCCCATCCGAGCACCTAGGGAGAAGATAATGTCTTTATTTTCATGGAAGATCGAGAGTGATCTGTCAATATGCGCTAGCAAGTTCTCATCAGGCGAAGGAGACTGCGCCATGTACCGGATGTCCATAAGAGCATGGATTGCGACCACAAATCAACGAGGGGCTGCACCAGCGATCAGGCCGATAATGTAACACTGAATATCTCGGTGCACCCTGCCCATGACTTGCTTCAATTTCGAAATTCCACCATGAAAGTGGTGATAGCCTACAGTAGGCTGCAATATTGATATGCGAAAGTCCAATTCCTGCGCTCCAACAACTATAAGGCACCACTGGAGGTCGTGATCGTAAAACTCCTTGTGCCAGTGATGCAAAGGTTCAGGAGTTAAAAAGACTGATGGATCAGCGAGCGGCCAGTCCTTCCAGAAAGGAGAGTGGACACCATTTAGTCAGTATTCCTCGCATGCTTGGAAGTAAGCTTCAAGGTCATTAGGATCAACTGTTATGCTATTGAGCTGTTCCAGGGTGATAGAGCGTGTGCGCTCGGGGTGGCAAAAGTCATCCCCAAAGTCCAGGTACGATGCCAAGGTAAACGGCGAAGTTTTCCCACGCACACATGCAAGCATACATGTCTCCGGGGTATCGACAATATATGCTGCAAGAGGTGTAAAACAGTGGCGCACATTTCCCACTGGGTCGGACATCATGATTTCAATTTCAGCAGCTATCATAAGGGGCTTCAGAACTATGGAAAGACACTCATGCATAAGGTGATCTTCTAGCATGCCTTGCATCTGTTGATTGGGATACAAGTACTCCGGGATAGGGAGGAGAGCTGTGAGCAGAAAAGCCCTGGATGAGAGCTTGGTGTGAGTGCTCATGCGAATGTTAGTGAGGCCCAAAAGGAGCGGATGAGCGACTCTGGCACCAGTCATATTGGTAATATTCATTTTGTCCAAAGAAAGCACAGTGCCCAGGACTGTTGCACCTCTGGGGAGCTGGTCTTGTAGTTCTTATGATGAGACAACATGAATATCGACACACAATCCATACATACCTGGATCTCCCAAGCAGAGTCACTTGTCAACCACTCTGAGTATACACGAAGAAGCCGCGCTGATGTCGTGTAAACGCGGCAAGGGACAAAATCGAGCTGGTCGTGAAAAAGGGGGTTACTGAAGAGACTTTCCAAACATTCCATGGGATCCCTCCAAAACAATTGGATAGGACTTTTTGTGGGATTGAGCGACGGGATGGTTTAACACTTCCAGCTTGGTCCCTTCAGCAGCATCTCAGCACAGCTTCGCAATTCTTTAGCGTTGTGGAATGACAATTTCAACCGATGGATCTGCAAATAATGTCAGAAAACGACAGCACTTGTGAAAAGGACATGCACCATAGGGAGTCCCAGAAACTGGTTAATTGCTGCCATACTGAGGGGAGAACGCAGGAGAAAATCAGCGACTTCCCACTCTTCCCTTGATGCAAAAGGGTAGAAGAGGTTTTCTTTCCTGTGTTCTGCATACTCATCAGCATCAAAAAGATCCTGAAAGGTCACACCGTCCTGAGCATAACAAGTTCCTGTGCCCTCATACATCTCCACCTCTGATAACTCTCCCTCATCCTGGAAATGGGCTCTGTCAAAGTCAATGTTCATCATCTCATCCTCAGTATTAAATTGCAGGATGTCTGAGCCCAACATTGGTTGAGGTTGATCTTGAGATCACTGTGAGGGATCCAACTCAGCAAACTGCAAGATATCGACCATATCGCGAGTAGAACTGTGACACGATGTCCGAGGCTGGCTGAGGTGTCGAGTGACACTAGATTCCTTGGTGAATACTTTGCCACACTTTGGACATATTAGCACTGACATAGTAAGTGAAACTAATGTCGACCGATGCATGGACTAATAAGTCTCACACATCACTGTGCTTCACTCCAACATATCACATTGGTGTCACATCATCGTACTTACTAAATATTGTCAATATTGCCACCACAGTGCTCACAATGGAAACCTCCAATGTTAACTCTATGACCTTTTCACACCATCCCCGGGCCTCCTACAGTTCTTCAGTTTCTTCTCGAAGTTCCTCTTTCAATTCTGAACTTTCTCCTCATTTTCCATCCTCTCGTCGTTGTGAGGAAGTCTCTCTGTATTCTCGGTCCAAACAAAGTTCACAAAGTTCACAATGTTCATCTTTTCTGCAACAATCGCAGCTCATCAAAGAGGAAGATAGCTTCCCCATATTGATGCACTTTGTGAGTTGTTATCTGCTAATCACTTCAATGCTCCATCATTCTTATTTGCTTTTGGTACTGGCAGGAACGAGACTCCACATCACTCGACCAAGCAGAGGAAGATGATCATTCTGACCTCGCACTCAAAGAAGCAGCTCAAGCTAAATGTAAAGTTTGCCAGGCTCAAAAGCACCTGGTGGTTTGTATTTTGGAACACCATCAGATACTTACATGTCTCTGCCATCGTTGTGCAGAGGCCGCAAATACACGCTTATTATTAGCTGATCTCAATGTCGGGTGCTTGCATCTAGAACGGAGAAAAGACGGTGTCGCAACATTCATTCAAACATAATTGGTAGTAAGCTTCCAGTTTGCGGTGTTCTTGTGCATGCACACTGACAAGTACTCTTAATCACAGCTTAATAGTGTTGTAAATATTTGGGACCTTTTTCGTCTTTGCATGTCAATACTTCATAAACGTTAATAAAGACCGTGTTTGTATTTTCGTACACCAGTCTTACCATTTGTACAGTTTGTATGTCTGTGCTACTTGTGCACTTGTCAAGTTTGTTCCCAATTTTCGATTATTTGCTTGTGTCATCTGTGATGTGTGTATGGCCTTGTGTGGATTTGTGTGGATTTGTCAATCATGTGGGAATTGTGACTAAATTAATAGTTTGCTGATGTAAGCCATCTAATAGTTAGCGAAGCGCTCGATCACCCAGTATAATAAGGCTTACTTATTGGGTAACCCAGGTGCATAATTCGGATCCGGACAAGCCTCTTTCCAACCGCATGGAGTCACTGTAACGTTACCCCGGCGTATTCTTCCGCAGAATGAGGAGCTAAATTCGTGGCTTTTTTCGGATCAGTCGTCTCCGTGGAGCAGTATTACAAAATACTCGATCACCAACGTTGAGACGTTGATACTGAGTATTACTGACCACCTGCGATGACTAACTCAAAGGAAGCAGACCCGCATCCGTCTCGTTGGCGCAGGTTCCTCCAGTACATTGAGGTACCCACTGATCCTGGAGTGCCCAATACACCATGGCTCAACCGCGACCTCATCCCCATGCCCAAAGAGCGCCGCACCTATAAGATATGGTCCTACTTCATCTACTGGTGCATCAGTGGTCTCTGCATTTCAGGGTATACTACCGGCAGCACATTACTCGCGTACGGCCTAGATGCGACACAGGCCATTGTGTCTCTCGTCATCGGCGGTCTCATTGTTGGAGTGCTTTGTGTCACCTGCGGGTGGATGGGAGAGAGGTGGGGATGCTGTGGTCACGGGATGGGTTCCATCGAAATGCTGACAGCTTATATGAAGACACCACATAGGTTTTACTGTAGCGTGCAGGTTCAGCTGGGGCATGCGGCGAGTATGCAACAATTGACAGCGGCACATTATGTTGATTCCTCTAGCAGAGGCGCCTATTTTCCTGTTATCGTGCGTGCTTTTGTGTGAGTGATGCGCTAAACGTATTGGAGTACACTGCTTGATTTCACAATTCAAGGGTCATCTTGTAAGTTCTCAGTTTCTTTTTCAAGTGCTGAAAGCTGATATGCGCATTTAGCTGGGATGGCCTCCAGGCCTACTGGGGCGGACAAGGTAACTTGTTTTCTACTCCTGTTCTCTGTTATGTTGCTGATAAACTTTCGCGCAGCTGTTGCGGTACGTCTCCAAGTCCTCGTGCATCTTACTTCATTCCACGCATCTGAATAGGTTACAATCGGCGCCATCATTCCTGGTGCGCAACCTTTCTTTTAGATCGTCTAATGCTTATTTTTATCTTGTTTTAGGATTTGCCCACATGTGAGCACACCCAACTTGTTAAGTTATCCAGCCACTTACACACGATGATTTAGGAAACAGACGTTAGCAGGAGGAATCTTGCTGACGAAGGACTTCATAGGCATAATGTTCGATACATTCTCTTTCCACGAATCCATTTAATTTGACTGTCGTGTGCAGCATCTACTACATATTCTTCATCGCAATCATGCGCATCCCTCCTGAGCGACTCCAGAAACCCTTCATCGTCTCGTCTGTCATGTTTAGCGCCACGTAAGCACCGTCACCATTCTAACTTCACGCATGCACTGCACTTACTCTATAATCCAGCCTGATCGGACTTCTTACTTGGGCGGTCTCGAACACACATTCTGGTGGTCCCTTGTTTCAGGAGCAAGCGAGTCCCGTTCATGGTGGAACAGGATGGTGAGATCAAGACTTGAGATTAAATCAGATATCTTGTTAAATAATACGATAGGGCCATGTTATTCGGTATCACTGCGATTCTTGGCGCGTGGTGCGAGACTGTCCTTTTGTCGCTTGCACGCCCACCTGATATATGTTATGGCTATGGTGAATAGGGGTGGTGGAACCGTCGGTCAGAGTGACTGGACGCGCTATGCTAACCGGCCATGTCTGCCCAACGTCATCACATTCTTGTTTATCAGACTAACACGTCCATTCAGATGCGCCTACGCTATCTCAGTTAATCGCTGCGTACGTCCACAACCCATATTCCCTATGATCTACCTGACTGATTACTCCCAGTCCATTTTGCATCATTGTGTGTGCCACGATTGGTATCATCGTCACGTCATGCGCCCAAGAAATTGTAGGGAGTTTGATTTGGGAGCCTTTCCTGCTTCTCGCAACTCTGCAGAATTACTAGTAAGTTGGAGGGAGGGGGAGTTCGTCCGCTGGGCATAGCTTAATTCCTTTCTTCAGTAATGACTCCCCGAGAGGTAAGGACAATCTCACGGTACGTGTGGGTGCTCACTTCTCCATCGGACAGTTCGCGCTGCGATGTATGTAACACGTTAATGTGCTCTAGCTTCTTCTCTGACTGCGCTTCAGTTTCTTTGCCGGACTCGGCTGTGTAAGCGCCCAGCTCGGCATTAGCATTGTTCTCAACTCTGTGAGCGCTGGAATGGATCTCTCGTACGTCCTTACTCTCGTATCCCAACATCTACATAATACACGAGCAGGGGTGTCGTACCGTCCGTATTTTATGTTTGTTGTGCCCCAAATGCACAAATCAACGAATGTTCTTCCACAGACGCTATATCAACATCAGGAGGGGTGCTTACCTGCTCGCCTTCCTGGGGCTAGCTTCAAATCCTTGGCAATATCTGTCTAATGCTTCAACTTTCTTGACCGTACTATCTGGCTTCGGAATATTCTGTACGTGTGAAAGAAGTCTGATTCATCACGATAAACTGATCCTCCCCAGTCGCTCCCTTTTCTGGGATTCTTCTCGCAGACTACTTCGTGGTAAGGAGATGCATGATCAAGCTCGAGGACTGCTACATCGGAGACAAACGCTCTATTTACTGGTACGCAAACATTATAAGACATATTCTTCCCCTCACTTCTGTCAAGGTACCACAATGGCGTCAACTGGCGTGCCCCACTCGCCTGGGTGCTTGGGGTCTTCCCAACCATGCCTGGGTTAATCATGACAACCCGCGACGCGACTGCGTGGAATGTGTGGGTGCGCATTTTCCACATTGCGTTCTTCGTCGGTAGGTTTGCTGCTATTAAACGGTGTCTTAAATATTCATTAAAATTTGGTAACTCTGCAGGCCTTTTGATATCATTCGTCGCGTTCTCGGTGATTTGTTGGGTCTCACCCCCGGGAAATGTGGGTATTGGAGCGCTGTATCATGAGGAAAATAGTTTCGAAGTGGAGGGTGAACTGGAGACCGAGGAGAAGGAAGGAGGGACTAGTGTAGGAGTGGCATAGATGGTGGTTTGTTCTGCAAAACCTCCTATCCTATCATGTTCATGTTGATCCACGACAATGAGGACTACGGTGGGGCTGCAGCCCAAGTTCACAAGTCCTCCAGCACTGGGCATCACAATGTCAAGGAGTCCTACAAAGAGTACCAGAGAACGAGCATCGAACCGACGATTTCGCAAATTTGTCCTTACACCTTCACCGTTATGTGGGAATGGAACTGTAAACACATCACTAGTGAGGTCTACATAGCAGGTCGAGCGAGGCGTGGCGTTCCAAAATTTTGGAATCTCACCGTCAAATGCAAGTGTGGGACATGGATGCACAAAGCAAAGAAAGAAATCGGTTGCCTTAGTGGGTGGTATTCTGCAAATCATCTGCATGCAACCGTGTCACGGTACAGAAATTTTACAAACACAGCAGGTATATCTTTACAACTAACGAGTGCAATTCCCTGCTGTTCCGATCATCTCCACAGTGCTGGCCTACGTCGATGATGAGTACATGGCAGCAACACCGATAGAAATCAAAATACGCACGTCCTGGCAGCAGAGTACGGTCATTGAGTTACCACATGCATTCACAGTGGGAACTGTCGTACACCCCGTACCTGAACTCTATGCAACGTCGAGCGCAGGTCGAGTTAGTTCGTGTGCTCCTTTGAAGCTAGAATCAAAAACGCACATAATCATTGCTGACAGTAGCACAACACGTCGGGAACCCCGATGCGCAGCCTCCTACATTCTGGCCAACGATTACAACGCTGGGTTCAGGAGCAGGTGTCGCGATCATGGAGACGGATGCACAAAGCAACACCAGTAGATGGGTGAACATGGCGTGATGTGTAGGGAACTCGGGGGAATAAAATTTAAGGTCATATTTTCAGGATGACTGGTAGAAATATGCAGCGTTCGCTGAAAAACCGTGACCGAGCCATAGCCGAGATGTAATTTAATCAGCTGTCGAACTTCTCGCCGAAGAGTTCAATTGTGAGATATTACATCACCCATGGATTCGAGGTAACCAACGGTTACCAACCCAAGAGTCTCCAACCAACCTATGGAAGAGCTTTGGCTTTTGCGCTCAGCATGCAGCGAATTGTTGTAGTTTATCACTGAAGAAAAAACAAAGCAGCAAAACGTAGTAGAATGCTAGTGCATTAAGAGGGAATCGAACCCCCGGCGGGTCGATGGCAACGACCCAGGTTACCACTACCCCATTAATGCCTGTGCTATCCGAAGCGTCGTCGGGGACCATGACGGCATCAGCGACACTGTGGGAAGTATGCCGACCATGAGCGAGCGCTTAACATCTTTCGCCGACAATGTCATATGCCGCTGCGTACGGGCCCTACGGCCGCTCACCGTCTCCTGTATTCACACAGAGTTCCGTGTCACTAGATGACTCCTCGGCGGACGAAACACCTGATGTCCAACCAAGCGCGAGCCGAACAGGCTCGCCGGGGCCTCTAAATGCTGAGCATGGGGAGGCAGCAGGGTCAGACACGATGACATGCCTGTGGGACGACTGTGGCGTTGTCTTCAGCCACCTCCCCAGTCTCATTGAACACATTCACAACAGTACGTTCATGACCTGATGTCGTCGAAACTGAGCATCATGTCCGGTGTGTGTTATAGCGCACATCGGTGTGCACAAGTCGAACTACACTTGCGAGTGGGCAACATGCAACCGTCGCGGGCTCGCACAGACTTCGCGGTTCGCCCTCATATCCCATATCCGCTCGCATACTGGCGAGAAACCCTTCATTTGTTCCCGGCCAGGTGAGTGGTGTAACATTCATTTATTCTCAATCCCATTCAAAGTAAAAACCAAACATCACCAATCTCCCTGTATTCTGTTTTACTTTTACTTTAATAATAATAATAATATTTCAACTCCATGCACCCATTGTTATCCACAATGTAACAATCGTTATCCACAACAGTTTACTCTAATTTCACTTCTCTTTTACATACCCACTCAAATATCCTCAGAATGCGACAAATCCTTCACCCGCTCTGACGCATTGGCAAAACATATGCGACTACAACATAACATGCCCCCTCCACCCTCCGGTAGGGGCGCCTCAGGAGCACGCAAACGCAAGCGGTCTCTCTCTCCCTCCCACCCTCAAACCAACGTACCTACTCCCGAGCAATCCGCATTCAGCACCTTCAAGCTCGAGCCGCAAACACCTTCTGAGCTTGAGAACGGTATTGGAGGTGGAGATTACTTTTCGGCGCTCACGCGTGAGGAAGAGGAAGACGACGACGATGGAGAGGACGATGGACTTCCACCGCATTTGCAGCGGCTCGTAGACCCCAGGACTGGCCTTATCATGGGCCGCACTCCTGCACTCGTTATGTATGTAATCCAGAAAGCGAAAATGCGCTACGCGCTTGAAACCCATGCAGCGCTCATCGAGGAACTCAGGTGCGCTGAATTGATTCGGATAGTCTTCGCGGCATTGATATTATTTCCTTTAGGGTCACGAGGGCACAGGCGAAAGAAGAGAAGTTAAAGAAAGAAACAATGCTGGATGAATTGATCAAAAGTGTCTTTGGGTGCGTTTGTCCATGTCCGTACTCTGTCTGATCTTCATTAAATGGGTCCTGCTGCTATCCAGAGAGGAAGCAACAGCAGCTGTCACACAAGTCCCTCCCCCACAGCGAGGCCACCGAATGCTACCACCACAAGCACACCATGTGCCAGCTGCGTATCCACCGCAACTTGTGCAATCAGGCTTGCCCTAAATCTTTTGTATCAATGTTCTGATATCGTTATCGTGATTTTAACATTGCCCATGCGTATCATGCAAGTTCGTGCGGCCTGTGACTAGGATATTAATTATACCTATCCTGCTAAATCCTGCTTAGTAGAAGCCTTCCTCGTCCTTATCGCGCATGTCCCTCATGAGCCACAATTTTTATCGATGTGAGTGTTGTCGGATGGTCTGCGGTGTTAAATGAATCATCTATGTGATGACTCGAAGTTACGTCTTTACTAGGGTCTAGTGCTATGATCCATGATATAATTTCCTATAGTCTAACACAAAGCAGCGGATATAAACCAAGTAACAATTACAGTGATTGATTTTTTACATCTACTCCCCTATGCCTTGCGGTCAGTGATCTTGCTCAAGAAGGCACGGAACGCATCTCGTCTCAACCTATTGCCCTTGCCCGCCTCGTGCGCCTCAGGTTCAGGCACCTGATCAATCATCGCATTGATTTCTGCGACAGCCTTCTTCTGATACTCCTCATAGCGCCTGGGAATGTTCAACCCCTGCTCGTCGTTGTACATGTCCTTCACAGCTTGCTCCCGTACAGCCTGATCTGCGCCCTTCTTCCCGTAGTTTTCATACAGGAGCTGTTTCTGCGCTTCGGTGCCGTACGTGAGTGCTGTGCACACACACCAAGAACATTTTCCATCAACGATGTCCGTGCCAATTTTGCCGATTTCTGCCTCGGTGCCGTGGTAGTCTAGGTAGTCGTCTTGCACTTGGAAAAACTCGCCCATAGGAATGAGAATCCGGTCTGCTTCTTTATATGCCTCGATGGTCTTTCCGTTGATCTCGTATACATCTGGGACACCACACATGCGCATAGCGAGCTGCGACACTGAGGATAGAAAGAGTAGAACGCGGTCTTATACCGTACAATGAAAGTATGTTTGTCGAGGCTGTATTTGCGAATGTCGATGTTATCTTCTGGGGCAGTGATCAAGTCGACGAGCTGGCCCATCTCAGTTTTGTACGTGACCTGCAGCACGTCCATGTCAGAAAGTGAGAACACAGCATAAGGGACTGCAAGAGGCATACCTCCTGGAACAGTTCCAACAGATCTACGTAGTAGCTCTCTCGCCTGAAGTGAGTCTTCAGGAGGTGGTAAATTGCACCCTCGAGCATGAAGGAGTCGTTGATTGCGATGTTGTGGACCTTTCCGAGGCCCTTGACATCATGGACGCGGTACCAACAAGGTTGACCGCGTCGTGAGATGGAAGCATCCATCATGTCATCAGATACAAGGAAAAAGGCTTGTAGCTATAATTATAAGAGGGTGCTATTGGGTGAGCATGCGGGATAAGCCGATAAAGGACTGAAACGTACGAGTTCGATACACCATCCAAGCAGGGCGGCTTTGAAGTACTCGTCGTCAGTTAGAGGTCGGTTGAGAAGTATTGTAACAGTATCGACGACAGATATGCCGCGATTGAGTTTGCCTCCCGGGACATTGTAAACAAGGTTCTAGCGAGGCAGGTTGCAAAAAGATGGTTATATCAATCACTGTCTATCGAATACACGAAGGATCACCTACCTCGTTGAACCACGTCACAGCGTCCTCAGGCATATTTTCTGACTTCATATGGTCAATAAGTTCCTCGCGGATGCGCTCGAATACGGCGAGGAACTTGTTACGCTTGTCTGCTTTCGATATTGCCATGTGTACAGGCGTCGAATGTGATAAGATTGGGCTTTGTATTGAGGAACTTTTGGAGGTTAGGGAGACGTCGTCTAGGATATGGTACTTGTTGTTGACGATGAAAGCTAGAAACAAGAAGAGGACTGGTAGAAGATGATAGATGCTTGCTCGTTGGTTAAGTAGAGTAAAAAACATTAATAGTTAAGTTAGGAGTGGCCTTATAATAATGAGACCACTTTTGAATTTTGAAATTGATAACTTAAATTAACTTGCTTCTTCTAACAGGGTTCCAAACGCTTCGCCCACCCTGTCCAACGGGAAGACGAGTAAAGTTAGAATTGAAACGCATGTCGGTCTAGTTTAGTACAAGTACGCGTTCAAGTCCAAGTTAAGTACACAGTACTAGTACAGTTCAGAAACGGCTGTGCGCCGCCACTGCCGTTTGGTGTTCGGCTCCTGATCGATCGATCAAGGTTTGTAGGCACGTGGTAGATACGCCCCGACCCTCCAAGTGCCGCTTAGTAGGAGACGGGTGCCAAGGACGTGGTCTGCCTCGCGACTCGAACGCTCAGGTAGACACTCTGCGTCAGCTTCACCTCCTAGTCAATCACTACCCTCTTGAAAAACACGATGTTGCGCATGTTACTTCGAAGTTCCATAGATGATGAAAATCATGAGATCCGAGCAGATCGCGACAATACTGGTCTCCCCTGGACTTTAGCGCGGTTGGCAGAACTCGGGAATTTTGCCAGCCGGTCTGGCAAAACTGGTTGTGTCCATTCCACGGCGGAACTAATCCGAAGGGGTGAGCTTCAAGATCTTTTGGATATGAAAATCAACGTCCCTCAAGTAAGATGTTGTATGCTGGAGGACGTCCTCCCTGCGTTACTGTTCCAATCAATTCTGGTCGGATTCGGGACGAAACAACATTGATGTTATCATTAGGAATATATCGCACACTAGTGCCTAGAGTTTTGCCAGATCTGCCGACCCGTTACAACCGGAAATCTGACTACACCACTCCCATCCAGCTGGCTATATTGAGGGAAGACAGTTAAGTATACGACGACAAATACCGGCCTGGTTTTCTCTGGAAATGCACGCACGACGCGTATAAAATAGGTGAACACTGGAGTAGAATACCGAATTTTGCACATGGAAGTAGACTGGTGACCAGCCCGTCTATGAGATGGAAGCTGCTGCGCGCTATGCGGCGAACGCCGAAGAAGAAATAGTCTATAGAACATATATTAATAGACTGCGGACTCTCACTCCACGTGAAATAATCTTCCAGGAGCCTAGCTACCGAACAACTATGGCGCAAACGAGGCCATCAATAAACATAGGTACCATACTTGGTGTCGGTCTAATAGAATTCAAAAACCCCAAATGAAATGTTATCGAAGGTCAAAGCAGACTGTTCAGGATATTACTAACTTGACTGACCTCATCTGGAAGCTTCGCTGTGAAAGAGCTATCAAACTAGAAGGGAACGACCTCAGAATGTGAAATTCACAACAGATGCGATTCGTACTATAAACGACAGACTAAAATTCGACAGATTTAAAAAGGCGGCCCTCAAAATGGATCAAGTCCTCCGAATGTATGGGAGCGGGGTACTCAAAGATGGAGACAAATCTTCCGGACAACTGGATCCGAAATGTAGGCGTTTTAGTGGGTATAGCACCTCCAGGCAAACGCGTGCCTTCGCGGGGTTTGTCAGTTGCCGGCTGCGCTCAGCCTGAATTCTAGGTACACCGGCGCCGTGGGATACGAATATACACGTGCGGAGAGCAGTATGAAATTCGAAAGCATTAAGAAGTTCACATATATGTGTTCTACAGAAAATTACATATTTTGTAAAGGCACATCAACACTCAGTACTTGCGTCCGAATTTTAAAACGATAGTGCATCACAAGCTCGCCAGCCTGACGCCAGAAATAATGTCGTACAGCAGCCAAAGTCATATCCAGCGGCAAAACAGAATCATTGCAGAGGATTTCGTACATGTCTTCACCTCGAGCACGATCATGCGAATTTTGATTATCGTCATGCGGTGGATGATGGGTCGATGTAGGACTGCCAGATATCTTGTCTAACTTTTCCTGAACCTGTATGTGATATTAACTATTGCATCGCCCACACAGGGGATCATCTTACATGATGAGTCAGCTTGCGAACTCTCAGGAACCTGCTCGACGTTAATTTGGACTGTGACCTTTTGAAGAACAAGGTTAGAATACACGGCGTGTGATGAATTAAATTCACTAACGTGTTGAGCAACTCAGGGAGTGGTTCATGTCCCTGTTCTGTGCCTGGCCAGGGTAGTAATACAAAAGAGACCTTTGGAGGAGGCGGGCTCGTAATTTTGTTGAAGAGCAGGTATTCAGCAAGCCACAGAGGTATCGTCGACTCCAACTTGTACACGTCAGCCCATGTAGTCGACACGCTGCCCCTATAAACCGTTCTCCACCCGGGATATACTTCGTCAGATATCAATATTGTCATTGCCGGAGGCAACGTCAAAGTGGGAGCATCGTTGGACGCGGGAGGTGAGATAGGGTGTGCGAGGAGTGCTTGTACAGGCGATTTTTCAGCGGGGTCTGTAGGTGCCTGGACAAAGTAACAGTCAGACAAACACCGATTTTCGTGTTCACCAAAATCACCTCTGGAGCGGTTGGCATATCGGCCAGATTGCCAGAAGGGCTAGATATAGGTGAACCCGGCAACGCATCAATGGTCATTTTTCTCACAGTGCCTTTACCAAGGCTCTTCAGACGTCCCATGAACCCACTGCTGCCAGTAGGAATGCTTGATGTCGGTGTTGCCAGGACACTCGGAGGACCACTCCACGCAGAAAAATCACCGGCATCTGACAGCGCGGCGCTTCCCGTAGACGGGCGCCGTGTATGAGGATGGGGAGAGAAATAGTCCAAGTCCCGAGACGCGCTGGAGAGCGGTGTCCCTGCATCAAGGCCTTGCGTGCGTATTGGTCGAGGAGCAGGGGTGGTATCGTTCGGAGGCAATTGAGGGATAATGGATAACGGTGGAGGAGATTTCAGCGGAACGAGCGGTATCATCGGGGTAAGAAGAGGGCTGGGTCGAGTCAAAGAGGGAAGTGAAGGAAGAACAGCGGGCAAACAAGTTGTTGATGTCACAACTGCACTACTAACAAGAACTCGCGACGGCCTCGTTGAAGACTCGAAGGAATGCCGCAATGTGGAACTTGAAGAGTTCCCGTTCGGTTCCAGTGATGGAGCCACAGTGCGCTGCATAGCTGAGTTACCAGTCTCGGAACCGTCGCGTTTACGACGAATGCGTTGCTCCTCGCGGATAAATCCAAGGAACAAATTTCGTAGGACCCACCGGCCAATGTTAACTGAAGCGTGTGTTCGGATCAGATGACAATTAACACAAAGAAGAATATACTTACACCGGAGTTCATCGCCAAAATGCCTGTCATGGTCGAAGCCAGCCTCGTCTGCATATATTTCAGAATCGAAACAGCGCTCGTTGATATGCACAGTGAGGATACCGGTTTTCGTGTCCACAGATGACCAAGGCGAACTGACAGCATCACCCTCAATGCGCTCTCGGACTGCCTCAAGCGCCTCACGAGGACTCTGTTCTTTGTCACCCCCTGTCACACTCCCGTTGTCACGACGACGCCCACTGCTGGAAGTACTGCCGGATCTACTCGCAGCACGCACCTCATCACGGGCAAACTGACCTCTGCAGATTCCTCGCACGATATCCCACACAGCGACTTCGCCTGTCGTATCTACCGTTAACGCATGCATCCGATCGTTCAACAAGATAGCTCGCACGAGACCAGGAGAGCCTGCTATCACCGCATCTGGGTGTGCGTTTAAAGGCTCGGCATCGGCAGCAAACTCCCGAGCTTCATAAGCCGTTCGAGGGTCCTGCACTGCATCAAGATCGGTGAGCGCCATCGAGATTTCACTTTTCTTGCTCCGGAGAGTGTTGGGGGGCATGAGGGTGGAAGAGTGATGAAGAGTAGCATGGAGTGGCAAACGTCCTCCCGGAACGGAGGCGATGGATGCAGCAGAGTATAATGTTGCAACTTCGGGATCGCGTCCACGTAGAGCGAACGAAGAAGGGGAGAAAGGACCATCAGGAGAGGTAAGTCGTACAAAAGATGTGAGCGGGACACCGGGGTAGGCTGCTGTCGCGTCATCCCTACGAACTAGTCGATAGCTCAGTATTGAAAATTTGACTTAAAATTGGAAGTGCACCTTGATGTACTGACGGTGGTGCAGACCACTGTATATCAGGTCCAAGGGAAACTTGTCTCCTCGAGATCGTAGTAAAGGATCTATCAGCAATGATTTCTCTCTCTTCCTCTAAGACTCGTTTCGGTACAGGTTTCGGAAGCCTCCAGCGACTGATGCTCGATTTACCGGAGGCGGTCCAAAGAAGACCGTCATCTGCGGTCACGATTTTATTGATACCTTCCCCGACTTCAACAGAAGATTCCCCCGCAATAGTGATGCAGGCGCCATCCGAAATGTCTGCGCATCCCTCCACATCGACTTTGCACACCATACCCGACTTGTCGCCAGAGTAGAATACCTCGAGTGAGGGATGCGTCGAATGTAGAGACCAAACAGAATCTGTGTGGTACGCAAACGTATGTAAGCATCGCTGAGATGACAATGACCATAGTTTGATGGATGCTAGTGATGTAAATATTCAAAAAAAATTCGGAGGACCATGATGTGTTACACACCGTCTGCAGAACCTGTGAGAAGCTGGCCAAACTCGTTAGAACAGATTGTTGTTGGAATGTTCATAACTCACATATCGCGCATCCTCTGAAATAAGAATAGCTCTGATATTGTCCGTGTGGCCGACCAGCTTCCCTGTCCTCTTTCCCGAGCGCGGGTCCCACATCCTGACGACACGTTCTGGAGATCCACTTGCAATGGCGTGTCCGTACGGGTCGGAGGCTATTGCATATACAGAGGCTTTGGGCGCAGTAGCGTCAGGTGGGTTGAGG